ACGCCGCCTACAAGGCTAGTCGGGACCCGCAGCGAGTTTGTCTGTGGGGACGGGACAACCAGCAAGGCAGGGCGGGGAAGGCTGCAGGGATGGGAGAATGCCATCGGGATACCAGGCGGACGGCATGTGTACGCCCGCTGCCAGCAAAAGGCAAGTATTCAAACGGGGCCTGCTGGACTTCCCACCACACAGCCACCCGCTCCTGGGTGGAAGGTGAGGGACAAAGCAGGGTGCAGGCGTGCACACTCACCTCACCACCTCCTCCCATAACCCCTGAGGAGCGTGTCCTCTCACAGAGGGAAACTGAGGCCGGGAGCTGTCAGCCCCCCCTCCTTCCCGCCCCTCTGCAGATCTGTGCTGGAGGCCTACCTGGGCGGCGAGGAAGCGCTTGAGTGCGTTCGCAGCGTGCAGATCCATGCCTCTGACGACGGCGCCCACGATGAAGGGCCGCACGTCCCTGACCTCGGGGTGCATGCACACCACCAGGGGCGCCGGGTTCTCGGACACGTGCAGCACCCTCAGCAGCAGCCTGTGCACTGCCTCCAGCTCGCCCTCCTCGCCGCCCTCCCTCTTCGGTCTCCTCTCCCGCTTCTTCTTGCGGCTCTCCTCCTTGTCGGCGCCCTCGGCCTTGGCCCGGCCCTTCCCACCCCCGCGGCCGCCGACTCGCAGGTACTCCAGGATGGACTTGGTCTGGCAGCCGTGCACCATCTTCTCCAGGCGCTTGTCCCTCAGCTTGTTCCCCTGGAAGTGGATCTCCTTCAGCTTCGGGCAGTCGGCCAGCGCGGCTGGGATCTCGCTGAGCTGGTTGTTGGAGAGGTCCAGCGTCTGGGGAGACACAGCAGGGACGGGTCGGAACACTGGGCTCAGGGAGCGCTACGCCCAAGCTTTACCTTTTGTGGGCCGGCGCTAGACCCCGCACCTAGAGCCTAGTCACCAACCCTTTGCCACCTATCACTAGCCCAGAGTTGAGAGGGGCAGGCTTAGCAATGGCGCTCAGTTAGGAGCTCAGTCAGTTTCCAATGCAGTGATGCCACCGTGACAGGGCAGGATAGTCAGCTTTATGGACAGGGGCCTACTGGGGCCATTTGAACCCAGCAGCCGCCACTCCCTGGTGCCAAAGAAAACACCCTGTTAGGATGGCAGCGACGGGCAGCTCTCCTGTGACACAGGCAGGGCTGACTGGGCAGCACATGACAGCCACAACACACTGCATGGGGGCCACCAGGCCTTCCTTCCTGTAGAAGCGCTTGGTGGGTGTGAGCCACCAACCTTTCCTTAAACAGCCAGCAGCTTAACCACGGTGCTACCAAACTCCCTCCGCAACCATGCAACAGCGGCCAGCAAGGCGCTTTCTCACTCAAAGCGTTTCTCCTTACCCAATTACTAGTGTCGCAATGGTAAAAGCCACCACAGGAACGTAGACCCACGGAGCCTTAGGAAGCTCGGGGAGTCATTAGAAGGGTCACACACAAAGCTTGGTTACAAAACATGAGCTTGCTATAAGGACAAACATGTCTCCGTCTTGAGTGGAGACACAGGTGCCCCGCAGACATGCTCAGGTACTTTTCAGTTAAAAGACGTGCGTCCTGGTGGTGCAGAGGTTGGCATGGTCCCCTCCGGTACAGACTCCCCCAGCCTCGGAAACCCCAGGGGGAAGTTCTGCTGCCCTATCAGCTCACTACGAGCTGGAATGGACTTGACTTAATGGCGTGGGTCTGCAGAGACAGCATGTAGCAATGGCACCCGGTAAGAGCACCACTCTTGATACGAAAACCCAGCCATCAGAAACGGGACACAGAGTGTCCTTGCATCTCACATGGGAAGTGTTGGCAGCCTGCCTTTAAACCCGAGGCGGTTTTTTCCCCATGGCTGGGTCTCCTCTGTCTCCAGCCCACGACAAGATGAGAGGACGAGATGGGGTGGGGAGACTGATCTGGTGAGCCCTTTGGGGGTCAGCAAGGCTGCTGTCATCCTGTAGGTGTGGCATCATCTCTTGATCCCTTCCCCATGGCTGGAAGATCAGTGGTGAATTGCCAATAACTACTACTAAAAGGAGCCCTGGTGTCATGGTGGGTTACGTGTTCAGCTGCTAACGGCACGGTTAGTAGTTTGGAACTATTAGCAGTTCCCAGAAAGAAAGGAACTCCCATAAAGAGTCACAGTCTCAAACTTCAGAGCAGTTTCAGAGCCGGGTTCGTCCCGTCTCTGTAATCTTCCAGATCTCTTAACATCAGGGTTCAGGTGGAGGATGTGGAAGCGAGAGTCATCCAGCCCAAACCCTACACTCGCCCTGAACAGACACATGCATGTCTAGGGCTAATCGGCTCCTTGTTCTTCTGATCTCTGGCACCCACCAACCCCACCCTCGGACCCTGGAGCATGGACCAGTTCTGTGGACTCCTGTGTATGGGCAGATGTGACCCCAGCCATCGCCCTCCAGTCCCATGGACCATGCACAAGCAGATCCCCATGTAAGCGCACACACCCAGGGGTGCTTCACAACCCGGGGAAAGGGGTGTGTGTGTGCACATATTAGCAAGGACGTTTGTTGGGGACTGGCTCCCATTACATTATTGCATCTGGGGGTAGAGATGGAGACTGGATTTGAGCTGTTCTCCTAAACAAAGATCATTAAAAAAATCATTATAATAGTAAGAGTTCAGTGCTGGAAACTCACAGGCAATTCTGCCCTGTCCTATGGAGTTGCTATGAGTTAGCATCGGCTCTATGGTAGTGAGATTCTTACTAAAATGGTATTCCCTAAACCCTAACTCTTCTTGCCCAATTGGAAGTTCCCTGATGTCAAGTTTGGTGTCAGAGAAGAAGAGACGGCGCTCCCACAGGGAACCTAGGCTTGGTGACGGGGCCCGGCAGAGCGGGCAGCTCCTTCCTCATTTCCCCAGGGGGCCAGCTCTGGACACTGCTGAGAGCTGGTCCTCGGTGTGGGTGCCCAGGGAGCTGGCATCTGGACTGGGCCAAAGGGAAATGGACCAGGCAGTTCCAGGGGCTCCAGCCTTGGCTCAGCCCGCAGCCTACTGGCCGCACTGAGTCACAAAGGCCACTATAGTAGTCCCTCACTGGGGGCCTGAGCCCCACTGGGTGGAGGGTCAGTTTTACCAGCAGCAGGAAATCAGGGCAGCCTCCTGCCATCAGGGTTGGAATGGAATTCCAGACCACCCAAGTCAGGGAGAGCTCTCCAGTCTAGGGTGTGGACAGAGAGAGCGTCAGCAGGCTCAGAGCAAACAAGGATGTAGGGACCTGCCCCCCTCCAGGACTGGGGAGGGGAGCCACGGCTAGCCCTGCTGGATCCTCTGCAGCTGGAAGCAGAGGGCCCTTAGATGCCCTCCAGGCTGGCCTCCAGACAGCAGCACCTCTCTGAAACAGTCAGGTGGAGGAGGTACCCCAGGCCACCAGGTCATCACTCTGCTGGGCCTCCCCAGCCTTTCTCCACTTGGAGTCCATCTGGATGGGGTTGGCGTGGGGCACACAAATATCGGAGGTGCCCGATGGCCTTGCTGTCATCTCCTCCTGCAGCTTTTTATACCACGAGGTGGGCTCTGCTTGCCCACCCTGGAATCTGGGTGGGCCAGATGCAGATAGATCGGGGATCAGCTTGGGGCCCAGGCTTCAAGAGCTTCTGTTCCTACAGCTGGTCTCACGGGCAGGAGCACCCTGGTCCAGCTCTGGATGTCCACCAGCTGAGCAGTCAAGCAGCCCTACACCTCAGCTTTCCCACAGGAACTGCCTTCCTGCTGCATTCAAGAGGGCTGAAAGTGATGCCCCCCCCCCCCCCCATGAGAGCTCAGTTACTCAAGGCTGGGAGGTGGCCACAGTGGTGGACAAGCAAGGCTTTGGGGAGCCCAGGCATTCTAAGCACAGCTAGAACCGAAATGGGCAGGGCCTGTAATCTGATGAGGAGTCTCCACAAGGGGCAAACGTCACCATCACAAATGAGCTTGTTAGTGACTCAAGCGTGGCTGCTGCCCACACCCATAGCCTCTCAGCCCAGCACAGGCAGCTACACAGGCAGGTCAAGGGGCAAATGGGACCCAGCCCTTCCCCTGGCAAGAAGGCACCTCAGGGAATCTGGAGAGTGAGAGCTGGCAGGAGCACTTCAGCCAGGCCAGGTTGCACCATAGCCCTGTTTGAGGGGGCCATGTTTGAATTATGCACTTGGACCCCAGAGGACACAGGCAGCCCGGCCCTCAGTGGGAGGAGCCCTCATTGTTGATAAGTGTGACTTGGCCTCTCCACACTACCAGGATGCTGTCTATCCTCCTTGCCGCTCCCCCTTACTGCCTGCCCCCCATATAACTCATGCACACTCCAGGCACAGGCAAAGGGGCTGTGCGCTTTGCGTAACACAGACAGGAGATTCTCCCCCCATGTGTCCTCCAATCTGCACCACGTGCATGGCTAGTACTGCCTTGGGCTATAGGGTTGTTGTGCTGTTAGGTGCCATCGAGTGGGTTCCAACCACAGTGACCCTGTGTACAACAGAACAGAACTCAACTGTTGTCACGTTTGAGGCCACTGTGTCAATCCATCTGTGTTCAAGGGCCTTCCCCTTTTCACTGCCCCTCTACTTAACCAAGCGTGATGTTCTGCAGGGACATGTCCAAAGTACGTGAGATGAAGTCTCACCTTCCTTCTGACTCTTAGGACAGATTGGTTTATCCTTTTGGCAGTCCACAGCATTGGCAGCATTCTGTGTCAGCACCACAATTCAAAGGGATTGACTCTTCTCCAATCTTCCTCATTCAAGGTCCAATTTTCACACGCATACGAGGCAACTGAAAATAGTATGGCTTGGGCCAGGTGCACCTTAATCCTCGTAGTAACCCTCAGGTTTTCAACACGTTAAGAGGTCTTGTGCAGGTTTACCCTATGCAATGTGACACTGGTTTCTTGACTTGCTTCCATGAGCATCCATTGTGGATCCAACTTCAACCTATTGGTTCAGTTGTGAGGATTTACATTGAGTTGTAACCATAGTGAAGGCTGCGATCTTTGATCTTCATCAGCAACTGTTTCAAGTCCTCCTTACTTTCAGCTAGCAGGGTTGTGTGATATAAACAAGCCGGCCTCCAATCCTGATGCCCCATTCCTCTTCATAGTCCAGCTTCTCTGGTTATGTGCTAAGCACACAGACTAAGTAAGGATGGTGAGAGGATACAATGCTGACATACACCTCTCCTTATTCTAAACCACCTGGTAGCCCCTTGTTCTGTTTGTACACCTGCCTCTTGAGCCTCTTGGTACAGAGAGGCTCCACAGGAGCACAACTCAGTGTTCCAGGAACTGTCTTCCCAAGGTTCTCCCACTACTTGTCAGTTTGTCATACAGTGGTGGCCTGTGTGCTGCAAGCAATGCCACTGGTATTTCAAATGCCAGAAGGGTCCACCAAAGTGAACAGGTTTCAGCAGAGCTCCCGGACTAAGAACAGACGACGAAGAAGGAATAGGCTGTCCACTTCAGAGGAATGAGCCACCTATGGCGGGGCACTTACCTTTGTAGCTGTGGCAAACTTGAGATGAGCCCATCCCTCTTCAGAGGTGCTGGCTCAGCTTTACAGGAGATCAGCCCAGAGGAAACCATGCCTCTGAATGGGTCCCGATGCTTCGGCAACCAAACAAAAGAAAGCTGGGGAAGGGCTTAACAAACCTAACAACCCCCTTTCCATTTCTCTTGTCACAGAGGCTTCACGATCACTGCTGACTCCCTCTGTGAACTATGGGAGGGGCTGCAGTCGTCGTACACTAGGAATCCCTGATGTGGGGCTACACTGTCACCCTACAACCCCGTGACGGGCAATGTCTGCGGGCGCGGCTCTTGGGAGAGCAGGAGGAACCCCGGATGGTTTGCTCCTGCTGCCCTGGTCCACTGCGGAGTTTGGGAGGCACACGTCCCATCCACATGGGGGACAAAGTTGGTTTGGCCCTTCCCTTCTCGTTTCTGAAAAGAATCTAAGCAATCAACATGCCCGTTTTCCCGAAGAGTCAGGCAAGCCTGCAGACCGACCGACCCACGGAAGAGAGGCCCCAAACGGGGGTGAGCTCCCAAGAACACCCGTGTAGGGGAGAGGGAGAGGCATGCCCCTGGGGACACGGAGGCCACACATTGGAAACCTTCTCAGACGGTGCTGGATGGTCTCTCTCCATGTCTGCTTTCTGACTCTAAGAGGGTAACTGTAAGGATAGGTGGCAGCCTGTGAACTGGAGAACCCTCGTAGAGAACTGAACCCATAGGTGGGGTCTGGCAGAACAGTCCATTTGGCCAGGAGCGGCTCCGTAGGGCTCAGTGACAGGAAATTGTTGCATGGGCAGTCGATGAAGGATGGAATCCTTCTAGTCTGTGACCTAGGCCAAGGGGCCAGAGAGAGGGCTCAGCTGGTCTGAAATGCAGGGAGATGGGCTGATTCCAGAGCTCGAGGCTGTTCCTCTTGGACCCCGCCTCAGGTGGCTGGGGATGAGGTCTGATTTAAATGAGTCGTTAGGAATGAGGAGAACAAGTGCAGGAAGGTAAGGCCTGGCATCACTTCCAGTTGGGAACTGGATTCATGCTGGCCCCTGCTACAAGTTAGTGACCAAGGTGGGGCAGTTTTCAGTGACTACAATGCTTCTTCAGCCCCATGGGGACAATAAGGGGCACGATTCTCCATGGGTTTCAAGGTTAAAGAGCACCAGAAAACCCAGGCTGACTCGATGTCCGGAGGCCACCTCCTCCTTAGCTCACCACTGGTGGCTGACTCACTCAGCCCAACGAGTCAGCAACCAGAGCAAATGAGGAGCATTCGCTGCGTTATTTCTCCACCAAGGAGGGAAGCCAGGCTGAGAGCCAGTGGTTGGGACACTGAAGCTAGGTCACTGGTGGGCCTTGATAGCATTTTGTGGGACAGCCATATCTTTGGCTTCCTGCTCCAAATAGCTGGAGGGGGAAAGGAAAGGGCAGGGTTTCCACAGCTACAAGGTCTGGGAGTTGGTCTTCAGTGCTCAAGCCACGGGGCTTCTTTCTGATCTCTCCCCTCCAGGGAGGCAAGACAGCAGAGGTTTATGCTACCATCGCTTTGACCAAACCCAGTGACATCAAGTCATTTTCAACTCACAAAATCACCCTATATTAAAAAACTGAAAGCAAAACAAAACAAAAAAAACAAAACTCAAACTCACTGCCCTCCCACTAAGTGGATGCCGACTCATCACCAACCTATAGGGCAGGGCAGGGCAGAAGTACCCCTCTGAGTTTCCTTACAGGTGGGGAAAGCCCCATCTTTCTCCAGAGGAGAGGCTGGTGGTTTTGAACTGCTGACCTTGAAGTTAGCAGCCCAACCGGTAACCACCAGGGCTCCTCCAGTGACTCTGCACAGGGCTTGCAAACCTGGTCACCTGTACAGAAGCAGGCGGCCTCATCTTTCTCCTGTGGAGGAGCTGGTGGGCTTGAACTACCTAACTCATTGTACCAGTAGGTCTCCTTACTATTATTTGTGTGGCCCCTAAAGAAACATAGCTCCTGGTACCCATGTTCCCCAATAGGGGCTGGAGTGTGAGGTTTTTAAACCAACAGTGCGGGGTGGAAGTCA